AAATAATCGTTTCTTTGTAAAAGTCCAAAAAACCTTCATATTTAGAAATTAATTTCTCACGAATTATTTACCTATCCCAATTAATTTTTGCTTTACTGTCTTCATTTATACTTTGCCAAATGTAATATGAAATTTTACTACTTTCTTCCATTGCTTTAAAAAGATATATTGGAATAAAAAAAGGCTATTTTCTACAATTTTTCGGTATAATTTAGGCAACCAGAGAAGAATCAGTTTCCATCCTTAAAATACCTATACGTATTTTGGACCGTATCAATGTCCGATATGTCAAAATATATTGCAACTAAATCTGTAAATCCTTTCATAATTGGAAAAAAAGCACAAATGCCTGAAAGAGATCTTATTTTCTTAATAAAAAACCTTCTTTTCGTTCTTTAATATTATCTTGCTTATTCTTAGATGGACCCAACAAACCCTATATGACTATGCTCGACAGGGAACGTTCTACCCAAATCTGTAAAAATATACAGTGTTCCATTTAAATTAACAAAGTTAACATCCGCAGCCATTTTGTTTGAACTTCATTTGTTTTTCTACTATCATTTTCTTTGTATTTCACATTTTTTTATAACTCTTAAAACAAAAAAGTTAAATGGGGGGGTCAAAATATAGTGAATCACCCTGTACCTTTGATTTGACCCTATAGGATTTATGTATTTTGACGGGCTGAATCCGAATCTGAAGTCTGTTTAGCTCAAACACCCCAAAAATTTTGAGTAATTGGCGAAAAATTGTGAAAAATTGCCGAAAATCACGTTAGTGAGGGAAAAAAATTCGAAAAAATTTGTTCTGATCTTGATTAAGCTGCATCCCCCTCCAAGTTTTGCATAAATTGTAAAATAATAGCGAAAAATCACCAGAAGTAGAGAAAAATTGCCAAATATCACAAAAAAATTAAAAAAAAAATTTTGTGACCTTGATCAAGTGTGTTTCTTATGTATTTTAATACGCTGAATTCAAAAAAAATAACTGAAAATTGCAAAAAATCATAATGAGAGAAAATTTAGAAAGTTCTAAATTGGATCAAGTGTTCTCATAAATTTAGTCGAGTCGAATTTGAATCTAAAGTCTGTTGAGCCTCATTACCCAAAAATATTGCAAACATTGCAAAATATACAAATAAAAATGAAAATCGTGAATCCCAAAAAATGTTCGTTAAATGTCATGGATATGAATTACATACTTCCAAATAAACTCGACTGACTCGAACGAGGCTTTCTTTGATGTCGCTCTTACACTTTTATTCTCTTGTATTCTCTTTATAAGAAATATACTTGATCAAGGTCAGAAAAAACTTTTCAAATTTTTAAGTGATTTTTGGCGATTTCTCACTATCTTGGGGTGTTTGAGCTAAACAGATTCGGATTCAGCACGTCAAAATACATAAAGCCTTTTAGGTCAAATCAAAATACAGTTTTTGTGTGCCGGTGTAATTAATACAGTCACAGGAAGAAATACAATTAATTCTTTAAAAAATCATACCTCTTGTTACGTCTTCTTCACTGATTCTAGAACCTCGTATTAACTTCACAGCAGATTCAACAATTCCTCCAGCAGATCTGCTGGGTGCAGCAATAAGTACACCAAAAAGTCCAGTATCTGCATAACTAGCGTTAAATGCTGAACTAGCATAATCTTCGGTCGTGACACCAATTGATTTTGACAGAAGACCATTGTCCCTTGTACTCCATTTGATATGTGGGCCAACACCGATAGCTCTCTGAAGTACTGCAAATGCCAATGCTTCTTTCGTATTATTCAGTGCTGCTCCTTCGCCAGCAATGGCAACAAAAGCTATATTGCCACCTTTGTTTGACCTACACCAAAGATTTATATTTAATATCATCAATAAAAATATTATCATTATTGTATTCAAGGGATTATCTGCTCATCTTCAATTTAACTAAAACTTAATAATTACAGTATTTACCTAAGTTCACCACCTTTATAGATGGATGCAGTACTGCAACCTTCTCCTGATTCAAGTCTTAAGCTATTGGCATATTGTTCTAGCTCTGCACTATTAACTCCCAATCCAACCACAGACGCACGTCCAGTGAGGAAAGTACTTGCAACATAGTGTTGAAGTGTTTCAGAAGATATTTTGCCAATTTGGGATTTTGGTATAAATAGAGAATTACCTAATCCTGATCGGAAAGCAGCATTATGCACTAAGTCGATAGCCCTAAGCTAAAACAAAATTTATTTGTAAGATAGCTTTGAGAAATATTTTTTAAGTCAATTTATCTACATTTCTGAGTTATTGCACAAATATGAAAACAGATAAATACATTTTTCCTACTCATATAATCTTATGTTCTATTTAATTCGCAATAAATTGTTATACAGAAAAATTATTATACAGGGTGTCCTACATAAGAGCCGGCGCAGGGCAGGTGCATGTAGGAGTGTCCAAAATATTGTAATTTAACCAAACTGACCTATAAACAAAGCTGCATCCCGAAGGAGTTATTAGCCCCCAAAGTGGGGCCCTAAATTTTGAAAAAAAGTTAATATCTCTTCAACACTTTACCGCAGAAGAACCAAATTTGGTACATGATTTAGGTTTATTACTGGCCTTCTTTGACTATGATTTAAAGTTAATTGACTCACCCCTAAAATTGTTCAGAACCCTTTTTTTATTGACCGAATTGAAAAATAGTAATATTAATTCACAGCAGAATTTAATTTAAATTTTTTTTTACTCTTGTTAAATTTTAAAACTTTTCAAGAAAAGCCGTATTAAATGACACAAGATTTTAACAGTGTTCATTAGAAAATAATGAAAAAGTCAGTAGTAGGCCATGAATTTATCTTTCAAACTTGTCAGTTAGAAATAAAATTATTTTATTTCAACAATTCTTCCACACTTCTACAGTTTCCTTCGCAGAAACCCAGCACAAGTACCTACCGTATCAACTGTTCGTTAAATGTAAATTTTTCAGCCATTTGAAATAAAATAATTTTCCTACTAACTGACATGTTTGAAAGATCAATTAATTGCCTACTACTGACTTTTTGATTATTTTCTAATGAACACTGTTAAAATCTTGCGTCAGTTAATACGGGTTTTCTTGAAAATCATGAAGTTTTTTAAAATTTAACAGTAAAAAAAATTAAAATTAAATTCTTCTGTGAATTATTATTTTTCAATTTGGTCAATGAAAATTTTTTTTCGAAATTTAGGGCCCCACTTTGGGGCTAATAACTCTTCAACGTCTGAATCAGAGGTGCAACTTTGTATACAGGCTGTTACAAATTCGCTTCTCACTACAAGGACCTCAGAAACGGTAACAGCTACGAAGTAGCTTAAATGAGGGCAAAGTTGCATAATCAGGGGACCAACAATATGCCTCTAAAAAATCAAGGCTAAAATGGTTAGTTTTCGAAATATTTGAAAAAAAAAACGAAATTTTAGAAATCCGTTTTTGTTTAATTACTGCCTTGTTTGAGGAGATATGGAAAAACAAAGAACACTTTCTCATGGCCACTTTTTGCCCTCTACGCGGTAATAGTTTGAACAACTAGATGGATTTTACAGGGTCTAACGACACTTACAGTATACGATAATTCAATAAACAAAGAAATCTAAATAAGAAATTTGGATAAATTTGGAACAAATACACTGAAGATGAATTTTTCGAGACAAAACGTCTGAATTTGGTTAGGGCTGAGGCAGTACAGTATTGGGGGTAATGAAGGCTTGCAAAAAATGTAATAAAATTTCCAGGGTTGTATTTAAAAAATGGGTGTTGATGATGGTCCTGGAGAGACGAAATGTTACATATAAAAATTGATTATGCCATTCGATAGCAGGCAAAAAGTATTGAGATTTTGGCAGATGAAAATCCTCATGCTGTTAAAATAACCTCTTATCAACATGAATTCAAAATAAATATTTGGACTGTAGGATCATATTAGAAAAAAATTCTATTCAGCCCACTGATGCCAGTTTTGATATCGCATAGTTTTGAAAGCATTTGTGTATGAATATGAATCAGGAATTTTCGAAGTCGCATCATAACATAAAAAATACTCAGTATATATAAAATGGCATGGCATGGCAAAATAGTCAACAATTTATTTTTTTTTTAATTTCAATGAGCAATTAAGAATAAATTTTAAAAAATGAGCATAAACGAGAGAGACACAAGAATCTGTTTTCATGATGTATTTAGAAATAACGTGCAAAATACTTTTATACTTTTTTAAATGTTTAAAAATAAAGTAAATTCTCATTAGTTTCCTCAATATTCATCTCAAAATTCTAATTATTTTGCCATTTTCTCAAATATTCTGCTTCGTATTTTGCAATATCTACAGAAAAAATATTTTAAAAAGTAACTATTAAAAGGAACTTTTTATATTTGACAAAATTTAATATATATGCATAGAAAACTGTCAAGTTATTAATATATTACAGCTTAATGGTACCAGGAAAGACTAACAAAAATGCAAGACAGTTAATATGAATGTTAAGAAAACTCAGAGAAAATAAGTAAAAGTCCTCCGATCTTCATGCACAATGTTTTCTTATAGGTACATGAACATTTGTAAATTTTTTCAAGTGAACATTCTTATCCCTCTTATCTTTGCAACGCTAATCATAAATATTAAATATTTCCTTAACTCTAATCTAAGTTAGACAAAAAAACACATAACAAACTAATATAAGGAAAATAATAAACCTGTAATGGGCGAGTAGCAATATCAAGAAGCAGGCGATTTGTGATTTCAGATATTTCCCATGGTTTGAATACTTGTTGAGTTGCTACTTCTGTAAGAAAAGGCAAAGCTTTTTCAACAGCTTGCCTTGTGCCTTCTAAGGTATAAGAAATTGTTTCTCGGTCAGATGTAGCTGATAAACTAGCACCGACCTGCTGAATGTTGCGAATAATTGCAAACTGTGAAGCATTTCTGGTAGACAAACCTGCACTATTGCGTAATACGTGTGTGACACCTAAATTATCAGAAGACTCATTTCGCGAACCAGCCCTATAAAAATAAAATTTGTATTTTTATTAAATATTCCAGAAATAAACAAACCTGAATACAATAGATATCCTTGATATGGATGATTCGTTTTCAGCTGATGCTACAACCAACTTATTAGAGAGTACAACATTTTTAAACTCACAAGTAGAAACGCCACCAACTGGAGCTAATTGGGCATAACCTCTAGTCTAGAATTAAAATATCAGAATTTAATAAACGGCTTACGTCTACATAGCATAATTTATTACTTAACTTACCGTTACAATTCGAATTAATGGTAGTTTTGGAATATTTAATGCCATTTCTGACCGAAACTCAAGTTTTACAGTTTATATAATTCCAATTTTATTTAGTTCTTTCAATTACGTCATTATGTTACGTATACCTGCCAGTGTCACCAACCCGATTCTGCAAAAGTCTCAATATTAAGTAAGACTGAAAAATCACTAAATCATGC